TGTACAATGTATACCCCGCGGGTCACATATATGTACAATGTCTACCCCGCGGGTCACATATATGTACAATGTCTACCCCGCGGGTCACATATATGTACAATGTCTACCCCGCGGGTCACATATATGTACAATGTCTACCCCGCGGGTCACATATATGTACAATGTATACCCCAGCATGTCACATATATGTACAATGTCTACCCCGCGGGTCACATATATGTACAATGTATACCCCAGCATGTCACATATATGTACAATGTCTACCCCGCGGGTCACATATATGTACAATGTATACCCCAGCATGTCACATATATGTACAATGTATACCCCGCGGGTCACATATATGTACAATGTATACCCCGCGGGTCACATATATGTACAATGTATACCCCGCGGGTCACATGTCTGTACAATGTATACCCCGCGGGTCACATATATGTACAATGTCTACCCCGCGGGTCACATATATGTACAATGTATACCCCGCGGGTCACATATATGTACACTGTATACCCCGCGGGTCACATATATGTACAATGTCTACCCCACGGGTCACATATATGTACAATGTATACCCCACGGTTCACATATATATACACTGTATACCGCACGGGTCACATAAATGTACAATGTATACCCCACGGGTCACATATATGTACAATGTATACCCCAGATTGTCACATATATGTACAATGTATACCCCACGGGTCACATATAATTACAATGTATACCCCACGGGTCATATATATGTACAATGTATACCCCACAGGTCATATATATGTACAATGTATACACCACAGGTCATATGTATGTACAATGTATGCCCCATATGTTTATATATATATTTATATATATATATATATATATATATACACACACAGATACATACATAAATTCACATACAACATACATACTCACACATACATAAACTCATATATACAAACATACATACTCACACTCACATACATTTATATACACACACATACATACATAAATTCATATACACACATACATTCTCACACTCACATTTATACACACACACATACATACATAAACTCACATACACATACATACATACATACTCAAAAAAATATAAACTCACATGCATATATATACACACACATACATACACTCACGTACATCCATATATACACATAAACTCACATACATACACGCACACATATATACATACACACACATACAGTACATACATACAGCCTTTTGCACCTACACCCGCACCACTACTTACTGTACTGTAGAGGAAGACGAAGCAGGTCAGGACTCAGGAAGACGCCTCTCCCTTCCACTGCTCTGCACTTACTGTCCTGATCATGCTCCCATTGTGCAGATCGGCAGATCAGTGGGAGCTCAATCACAGCCTTTCTCAAGCAGGATGCCGCGGCACCCCTGGAGAACTCAGGTGGCACCCTGGCTGAGAAAGGGTGGTCTAGGGGGACCAAGTACATCATTTTGCTTACCTACTCCTCCACTCCCACATGTTCCTCTGCACTGCAAGACTGGCCCTGCAGCCTCTTCTCCCCTGCACTCTGCTGGACTAATGTCCTCTGATGTCATCAAGACCAATGCAGGAACCACAACCCTACCCTGGACGGAGCAAGCTGAGGGACAGTCCACTGCCAGAGCGGTAGAGAGTGCATATTGTCCTGGAAGCAGAGGATCAGGTAATTACATGTGCTCTTACCATCCCCTAGACCAGTGTTTCTCAACCTTTTTTTTAGTCAAGGTACCCTTTAAAATTATGGAAAGTCTTGAGGCACCCCAATCTAAAATATAAAAAACTATTCTAATAGTTTTCTATAATGGAGCAACATCCACACACGTAGGACACCCAACTCTAGAGGTAATTCATTCTTCCAAATTAAATACACATTTTCACACTGGTCCTGACTAGTATTCCAGTGTTTCTCTCAGTTTTACTCCATCACTGAGCTAATGTGACCCCAGCACTGATGGAGAGGAGCAGAGGAGGGTCAAACAAGGGTGCTGTGCAGACAACTGACATCCTCCTGATTAACTGATGATGCTATTGGTTGTCAGGACGCCGGCGGCTAGAAGGTCGTAATGGTGCACAATGAAAACATGTGGCTTTGTGTAACTAAAAGGCAGGCTTGTACCACCCGCTGGCTTGTATACAAGTTTTGTGCAACTTTTAGACATTTTGGCAAGGCACCCCTGAAGAAACCTCAAGGCACCCCAGGGTGCCTGGGCACCCTGGTTGAGAGATGCTGCCCTAGACTAACCTAGCAGTTAACATGTGCAGTACAGGCCTATTCCCACTGCAAGAGAGAACTTTTAGTATTCCATGAGTTGGGCTTTAAGGGGTACAATAGGTTATTGGCTAGAAAACTCCAGCCAAATTGCCAGACATTTTCCCAGGAAATTCAACTAGGAATCTCTTTGGACGTCTGCAATAGCTCTTTGTAATGCTTATCAGGGCTGGATTTCTATCACTGGAGCCTGTAGACCCATGTGTCTTGGAAGGACCCCCACACCACTCTTTCACTGATGATCACATTTTTAACACAAAGCATTTTTTTGATTTATTGGTCCTATTTTGGCTTAGAATATTGTAACAATGTATACAAATGTTTATATGACATGATTATTTTTCTACTGATGATTGGGAACATGTGTGGTGAATGATTTCCATGTGCCACTTATAGGCACAAGCCTCTTGTACCTAATGGTGAATCCAGCCGTGAAGACCATGATAGTGCAGCACTACTAAGTGAACAGCAGGCTGTCATATAATATCTATAGGGACCTTTATTTATCAATTCTTTTTCTGTCTTTGAGTCCCATTTTAACATTATCTGTTGAATTCATTGTCATTTCCTTGATTTGTTGCAGTGATTTGTGTTCTCTACTTTCTCCTTATAAATTGAACCGTCAACTAGTCTCTGTAAAGGTAAATGATTTAGTGTTTTCCCTTTTCTTCCAGTCCATCATTACCCCCCGATTCTGTGTGCGGATTTCCCTATGGTTTAGGTTTTACACCAGCCCTGGCTGCTTGAATGGTGTTGCTTCTGGCATAAAATGTGTTGCCCCTTGTTCCCGCTCACCTGGCTTTAAAAACGCTTTCCCAGTCCAAATGACACCTGTAGAATGCTAACATTTCAACTTGCTGTGTTTGTACTGCCAACAATAAGGGTTCATTATAACACATTTATAATTAGACAAAATACAGTCTACAAATCTCAACAAGTAAGCCATTCTTTAGAAAAGGAATTATCCTTTTGATTACACTTTTATATATTATTAGAATAGCTTCAGAGATGGGTGAAGTAATGCTGAAAACAAACTGGGTCCAAACACTAAAATGAATTTGGGTAATAGCAGGACTGATTAGTACGTTGGGTCACTCTATGTTCTATTCTTATCCCATTTTTAGGGTGGCTAAAACATGGGAGCTTCAGACACGGGCTAAGCAAACATTCAACTAATATGTCTACTAGGGACTCGTAATAACCAAACCCGAAAGATCTACACATAAGTAATAAACTCAGAGACAAAAGGGAACCCCTTGACATCATCTATCATTATCATTACAATCTAACTGAAATCCTCCACTTAGCATTATGTAGACCAACCTTTCTAAACCTTTTTACCCCAAAGGAACCATTGAAATAATTGTCAAGTCTCAGGGAACCCCCTGCTAAATTTATTTCATTGGTGGTCAGTGGAAATAATGCCCCTACACTGTTAACACTGTTCAACAAATTTTTTTTTATTTTTTTGCCAGTTTTGGAAACAAAAGGATCCATTTCTTAAAGAATTTCACATTCTGAGTTCAAATATAACAATGAAATTTGTCAATTGGCTCTAGTTTTTCTGTAAACGGAAAGTTTTCTACTATAGGCGTAATGACTACATAATGCACAATAATTATATAGATAGATGTCTTTCCACAAATATAAAGCAAGTGATATTGACTACATAACAAAGCCTAAATGGCATAATATATTGCATAGGATTACCAAGAAAAATTATAGCCATAAGCTAAGTTGAATCATTTTAATACTTAGGATTCTCACTAGTTTTGTCTTCAGTTTGTGTCGGTTTTGCTTCTCTTGGCTTTTCTCTTGTATTCGAGGAAAGGGCTATCTCTTACAACTGCACGTGACTACACGTTTCAGGTTCTTCCTCACTTGACTCAACCACGAAGGATTCTGGTGCTTTAGGAATTGGTAGCCCCTCTCCATGAGGAACTGGACGTATTGCCGATGGAATATTTGGATAGTGCACAGATAACTTTTTCTTCTTATTTAGCCCTTTTACAATTGGAGGCACCATACAAAAGTAACAATTACTAACATGATCTGTTGGCTCTCTCCAAATCATTGGCACAGCGAAAGGCATAGATGCCTTTTTTCCATTCAACCATTGCTCCAGTGCCGTCCCACAAGAATTGCAGCATATATGTGGTGCCCAGCTCTTGTCCTGGTCTCCTATCTTGCAGCCAAAATACAAGTTGTAGGCTTTCTTAATCATTCCTGTTATCCTCCTTTTTTGTGAGATAAAAGTTATTTCACCGCAGATATAGCAGAAATTATCTGCTTTATTCACACAAGTTCGAGGCATTACTGAGTAGCCTATATAAGCATAAAACGAAATGTAAAGACGCTGTCGAACTACAATCAGCTACAGATACTGCAGCTTTTATGCAGTGAAGTGATGCAATTAAAGGCTAATATTGCATCATCTCAGTATACATACAATTTTCTATTGGTCACCAGTATCAATTGCGCAATATGCAGCTGAAGTTGCATCATAATTTTGAATGGCTTACGTCATTAGATGGGTGAATATATCATGGAAACTAGAGCCAATCAACATTTTTTAGGGTCATTTTCGTTTTCAGCACCCCAAAATTATGTAAGATTAGCTAATTTTATGCCCAAAACTTTTTACCTGTTGAACAGTGTAATCAGTGGGGAGAATGCTCCTTACATTGATGATCAGTGGGGAGAATGTCCTTGATTGGTGGTCAGTGGGAAGAATGCTCTTTACAATGATGGTCAGTGGAAAGAATGTTCCTTACATTGGTGGTCAGTGGTGAGAATGTCCCTTAAATCTGTGGTCATTGGGGTTAATGCTCCTTACATTGATGGGCAGTGGGGAGAATGTTCTTAAAACATTGGTGGTCAGTGGGAAGAATGCACCTTACAAAGGAGGTCAGTGGGGTAAAAACACCCTACATTTGTGGTCTAGGGGAAGAATGCTCTTTACACTAGTGGTCAATGGAAAGAATGCCCCTTATACTGGTGGTCAGTGGGTAGAATGCTCCTTAGATTGGTGATCAGTGGGAAGAATGCCCTTGATTGGTGGTCAGTAAGAAGAATGTACCTTATATTGATGGTCAAAGGGGAGAATGTCCTTACATCAGTGGTAAATGGTGAGAATGTCCCTTAGATCAGTGGTCATTGGGGAGAATGCTCCTTACATTGATGGGCAATGGGGAGAATGTTCTTAAAACATTGGTGATCAGTGAGAAGAATGTGCTTTACATCAGAGGTTAGTGGGGAGAATACTCTCTACATTGGTGGTCCAGGAGAAGAATGCTCCTTACATTGAGGGTCACTGGAAAGAATGCTTCTTACACTGGTGGTCAGTGGGAAGAATGCACCTTACAGCGAAGGTCAGTGAGGAGAATACTCTCTACATTGGTGGTCCAGGAGAAGAATGCTCCTTACATTGATGGTCACTGGAAAGAATTCTTCTTACACTGGTGATCAGTGGAAAGAATGCCCCTTACATTGGTGGTCAGTGGGTAGAATGCTCCTTACATTGGTAATCAGTGGGAAGAATGCCTTTGATTGGTGGTCATTAAGAAGAATGTTCTTTATACTGGTGGTCAGTGGAAAGAATGTCCCTTACATTGGTGGTCAGTGGAAACAGTGCTCCTTACATTGGAGGTCAGTGGGGAGAATGTGCCTTATACTGGTCTGGGGGAAAAATGCTCCTTACATTGGGGGTCAGTGGGGAGAATGCACCTTACAATGGAGGTCAGTGGGGAGAATGCGCCTTACATTGGAGGTCAGTGGGCAAATATGTCCCACATTGGTGGTCCGGGGGAAGAATGCTCTTTACATTGGTGGTCAGTGGGGAGAATACTCATTACATTGGGGGTCAGCGGAAAGAAAATACACTGGTGGTCAGTGGAAAGAATAATATATTGCTGGTAAGTGGAAAGAATGCGCCTTACATTGGAGGTCAGTGGGAATAATGTGCCTTACAATGGAGGTCAGTGGAAAGAATAATACATTGATGGTCAGTGGAAAGAATAATACATTGGTGGACAGTGGAAAGAATGCTCCTTATATTGGAGATCAGTGGGGAGAAAGCGCCTTACAATGGAGGTCAGTGGGCAAATACGTCCCACATTGGTGGTCGGTGGGAAGAATACTCATTACATTGGTGGTAAGTGGATAGAATGCTCCTTACATTGGAGGTCAGTGGGGAGAATGGCTGTTGTCAAGTGCCGTTGGACCCAGTATTATGCAGGCACCCTCAGATGGGAGGTCAATCTGTCACACCTCAAGGAAACCCTGGAAACCTCAGCAGGAACCCTAGGGCTCCACAGAACCCTGGCTGAGCACAGCTAGTGTAGACAGTGCTTATTGTGCTGATTATACTATTAGGCTGCCTGCTGTTAATCAATAAAGATCTGAAACATTTGGGAATATTTACAAAGGGAGTGTATAAATGTTCATTTTCAAAGGTAATGTTGATTAAGCAAATTGAATGTTTACTAAATAAAGTGAAGGTGTGATCCCTTCTACCATTCAATCATGTACAAGGCAAAATTGAACATTGATTGATTGGGGATTTAAAGTAAACACAGCTTCACTTTATATTCAGTAAATCCACCCCATAGTCTTCTAATAGGCAGAATCTCTATTATAGCACACGGCAGTGCCTCTCTGGGATAAAAAGAAATAGTGGGCTCTACCTTAACCATTAATAGCATGGGTGCCAAACCCCATTTTTACGCTCTGGACCAATGGAATACCAGGCAGGTAGAAGCTTTTTCTGCACTCAGCTAAAGGGAAACTGTTTTCCAGCATTGATCCCCATATCCTTTTTATTGCTGGCTATAAGTTTTGGGGAATGTGGCAAAATGCTTCTAGGGAAGATATCATTTATCGTTCTGCCCTTGATAATACCACTGACGCATGAAGAAAATTTGTAGAAGAAGCTGTCAGTGAAGAGATGTAAAGAATACTCATGCAGTCATCCTTAATGTAACATGAAGTGTAAGGCTGAAAGGTGGAATACAGGGCTATGTAGAAGTTGTTCCACCTGGATATGAAAGAGTGGAAGGACGTAATAAATCGATGCTGTATTAGGCTTGTACAGTTCATTGCAAGAGCACAGGATATATTTTTCATGATGTGCAATTCCTGGTATAAAAAAACCAACCATGACAATGTAGTTACAGGTGATGTAAGAAATATGTACTTAAAATGAAAATGCTGTAAGAAGGGTGTTATTTGGGATCACAGAACATTGTTCAGAAGATGCTAGTTGGTCTTCAGCTCTAAACACCACACTATATTTGCTGTGACTTACAGGAACAATAACCTTAGGCTTGTTGCTGCTGTTCCCTATGTGTAGTGCTGATATCAGTAAGATCTTATTGAAATCAAAGCTCTTAATACAAATATGTTCCCCAGCCTTGCGTGTTGTAGCTAAAACACCAGTTCCTTGCTACGGGAAATGGAAAAATGTTTTTATTTAGCTAAAGCCAATTATTACCAGTGACAAATACTAAGCACGGCAGATTGATTCTAAAAATTAAATATCAATAACACCACTCCCAGTCAGCCTCCATCGGTCCTATCCAGCCAATAACATTTGATCTTCATGTTTCAGACACACAACATACAGGCTCAGTTTTCTCATCAGCATGGTTGTCATTTCAGGGGTCAAGCATAAAAACTGAAGCTGTTATTCACATCAACTAATCAGATGTTAATTTTCTATCTAATTGGTTACTAAGGGATTAAACTGCACTTTTCTTTCCTTGAGCTTTCATACATGAAACACACCAACTACAATAATAGTGAATATCTGCTAGTGACTCCAAGCAATGATGTGAAGAAGCCTTCACCTTGCACCCTGGCTTTCAAAACGAGATCTCCAGATTCACTGACAGTGCGGCTTGTCTACTGAGATATTACAGAGCTATAGGAGCTCCATTCTATGTATATAATATGACATAATTAATAGGTAAGGTAAAAAGGAAAAAAAATAAGAAAATGAGTGTCTTCTTTTTAATTGTAAGGTACTACGAGATGATGAATGCTTTCGTGTTAGAATATATAATGATCTGGAGAAGAGGCCACTTTTCTAGAACACCATCTAATCTTACATGAATAGTTCCAGAGCAAATGTCACATGGCAGACACAGTGACATGATGCCAGTAATTTTTTTTTAGCAGTCTGCAAGGGTGGAATTCTGACCACCACTGTTTAAGAGGGACATTCTTCCCACTGATTACCAAGGTAAGGGGGACATTCTTTCCAATGACCACCAATAAAAGGGAAGCATTCTGACTACCCATGTAGTATGGGTATTCTTCCCACTGACTGCCACTAAAAGGTGGGGATTCATCCCACTGACCACAAATAAAAGAGGAGCAGACTTCCCATCGACCACCACTGTAAAGGGGACATTCTTCCCACTGACCCCCACTAAAAGGGGAGCATTCTCCTCACTGACCACCAGTGTAATGGAACCATTTTTCCCACTCCCCATCGATGTAGGGGGAAATCTTCCAAGTGATCAGCACTAAAAGGCAAGCATTCTTCCCACTGACTACCAATGTAAGTGTGTGTGTGGGGGGGGGGCATATTCTTCCCATTGGTCACCACTGTAAGGGGGGCATTCTTCCCACTGACCACCATTGTAAGGGGGGGCATTCTTCCCACTGGCTACGACTAAAAGGGGACCATTGTTCCAACGTGAGGGAGGGATTCAATGTAAGGGGGGGGGTATTCTTCCCACTGGTCACCACTGTAAGGGGCATTCTTGCCACTGACCACAAATGTAAGGGTGAGGGCATTCTTCCCACTAGCCACCATTAAAAGGGGATCATTATTCCAACTCCCCATCAATGTAAGGGAGGCATTCTTCCAACTGACCCCCACTAAAAGGGGAGCATTCTTCTCACTGACCACCAGTGTAATGGAAACATTTTTCCCACTCCCCACCGATGTAGGGGGAAGTCTTCCAAGTGATCACTACTAAAAGGCAAGCATTCTTACCAATGTAAGTGTGTGTGTGTGTGTGTGTGTGTGTGTCACGGAGTGCCAGTGCCTCTCCCATCCCCCGCCATATCTCTCCACCCCTCTCTTCCCCCTTGCACATTCAGATGTCTGTGTAGCTTCCATGAACAGTGCTGGGCTGGCCGTTGCAACCTAGCAGTGTCCCACAAGGTTTTAAAAAGACTCGCACAGGAAGCAGCCCTTCTCTCTTTGTTCCTGTGCACACTGCTGGAATCATCTTGCTCCCTCCCGCTGAATGTCGCAGGGTGGTAGTCTCCGCAGCTCTGCATGAGCCTCTCTTCCAAGGTCAGACCCTGCGGCCATGCTACCCCCGCTGCTGTTCCTGGCCGCTGTGAGGGCCCCTGCCTGCTGGTCACTGAGCCCTGGAGAAGCCGGCCGCTGTGAGGGCCCCTGCTTTCTGATCGCTGGGCTCCTGGAGAAGATGGCTGCTGTGAGGGCCCCTGCTGCTGATCGCTGGGCCCATGGAGAAGCTGGCCGCTGTGAGGGTCCCTACCTGCTGGTCGCTGGGCCCTGGAGAAGCCAGCCGCTGTGAGAACCCCTGCCTTCTGATCACTGGGCCCCTGGAGAAGCTGGCCGCTGTGAGGGCCCCTGCTGCTGATTGCTGGGCCCCTGGGGAAGCTGGCCGCTGTGAGGGCCCCTGCCTGCTGGTCACTGGGCCCCTGGAGAAGCTGGCCGCTGTGAGGGCCCCTGCCTTCTGGTCGCTGGGCCCCTGGAGGAGCCGGCCGCCGTTTGAGGGCCCTTACTACTGATCGCTAGGCCCCTGGAGGAGCCGGCTGCTGTGAGGGTCCCTGGAAGCCACCTACTGCTGAGCGTCTGCAAGTCGCCTACCGTGAGTGTCCCTAGAAGCCATGAACTGCCCGTGGTGTGCGCACAGACTACCCATGTTCTGAACTGTCCCTGTTGTGCGCACCGACCTTCCCCGTGACCTGAACTGTCCCTGTTGTGCGCACAGACTACTCGTGTCCTGAACTGTCCCTGCTGTGTGCACCGACCACCCGTGTTTTGAACTGTCCCTGCTGTGTGCACCAACCACCTGTGTATTTAACTGTCCCTGCTGTGTGCACCGACCACCCGTGTTCTGAACTGTCCCTGCTGTGTGCACCGACCACCCGTGTTCTGAACTGTCCCTGCTGTGTGCACCGACCAACCGTGTTTTGAACTGTCCCTGCTGTGTGCACTGACCACCCGTGTCCTGAGCTGGCCCTGTTGTGCGCACAGACCACCTGGGTTATGAACTGCCCTACTACACGCCTAGACTACCCTTACTTGAACCGCCCCGTGGCGTGCCCGGAGTATAGCTACCTGTGATGCCCCTGAGTGCTTGAGCCATCGCTACCCGTTGAGTCCCCGTGAACCCGATGTCCCTAGAATGCTGGGTGGGAGCTGTGCTAGTCCAGACTCCACAGCTAGAGTCCCGTTGAATCCCCGAGACCCCTGCCCAGGGGTAGGTTGCCCGCCTGTTGCCCGAGTCTCCAATCCGCTGTCCAGTCACGGAGGGAGCTCGGCTGAGGCGGGACCCTCATGACCAGACTCTGCCTGGGACCCCCCAAGCCTAGGGGGGAGATTGCCTGCCTGTTGCCCGAGACCCCTGCCCAGGGGTAGGTTGTCCGCCTGTTACCCGAGACTCCAATCCGCAGTGCAGTCACGGAGGGACCTCGGCTGAGGCCCCAAGCCTAAGGGGGAGATTGCGTGCCTGTTGCCCGAGACCCTTGCCCAGGGGTAGGTTGCCCGCCTGTTGCCCGAGACTCCAATCCGCTGTGCAGTCACGGAGAGGGAGCTCGGCTGAGGCCTCAAGCCTAGGGGGAGATTGCCTGCCTGTTGCCCGAGACCCCTGCCCAGGGGTAGGTTGCCCACCTATTGCCCGAGACTCCAATCTGCTGTCCAGTCACGGAGGGAGCTCGGCTGAGGCCCCAAGCCTAGGGGGGAGATCGGCTGCCTGCTGCCCGAGACCCCAGTCCAGGGGTGGATTGCCTGCCTGTCACCGAAGACCCCCCTGCCATTTCCCCATTGAGTGTCTGTCATTTTTGTTGTTTCAATAAAGCTTTGTGTGTTCCCCATCTTCTCCGTGTGCTCTGTCCTGCCTTCGTTTTTGTTACGGGGGGGGGCATATTCTTCCCATTGGTCACAACTGTAAGGGGGGCATTCTTCCCACTGACCACCAATGTAAGGGCGGGGGCATTCTTCCCACTGGCCACCACTAAAAGGGAACCATTGTTCCAACTCACTATCAATGTGTGAGGGAGGCATTCAATGTAAGGGGGGGTATTCTTCCCACTGGTCACCACTGTAAGGGGTATTCTTGCCACTGACCACCAATGTAAGGGTGAGGGCATTCTTCCCACTGGCCACCATTAAAAGGGGATCATTATTCCAACTCGCCATCAATGTAAGGGAGGCATTCTTCCGACTGGTGACCATTAAAAGGGAAGCATTCTTCCCATTGTCTACCACGGGAGGGGGGGCTTTCTTCCCACTGACCAACAATGTAAGGTGCACTCTTCCACTAAACACCATTGCACAAGGAACATTCTCCCCACTGCCTACCAATGTAAGGGGATCATTCTTTCCACTAATCACCACTAAAAGAGGAACATTCTTCCCACTGACTATCAATGTAAGGGGGGGCATTCTTCCCACTCACCACCACTAAAAGGAGAGCATTCTTCCCACTAACCACCACTGTAAGGGGGACATTCTTCCCACTGACCACCAAAGTAATGGGGGGCATTCTTCCAGATGATTCTTACCACTGACTATCAGTGTAAGGGGGGGAGGGCATTCTTCCCACTCACCACCACTAAAAGGAAAGCATTCTTCCCACTAACCACCACTGTAAGGGGGACATTCTTCCCACTGACCACCAAAGTAATGGGGGGCATTCTTCCAGATGATTCTTACCACTGACTATCAGTGTAAGGGGGGGAGGGCATTCTTCCCACTCACCACCACTAAAAGGAGAGCATTCTTCCCACTAACCACCACTGTAAGGGGGACATTCTTCCCACTGACCACCAAAGTAATGGGGGGCATTCTTCCAGATGATTCTTACCACTGACTATCAGTGTAAGAAGCAATTCCCCAATGGTCCACCGTGCTTTTGTTTTAGCAGGGGTTTCTTGATACCTGAAAATGATGTCTTAAAACAATGTGCCCTAAAACAAAACAAGCTCATGGGCCACCTGCTAAATGGCATATCTGTTGGACACATGGTAAATGCAATCATCACAAAAATGATACATAAAAATCAGCTAAAAAATTATGTATTTAGTGATATATTACTTAATTTTTTTCAATGAGTACACCTGTGTAGCAGAACTTTTCCATGGGTATATAGCAACTAGCATTAAATGTGCACTAAATACATCTACATATACTGAGCACCATTACCCAGCTAGCATCTGATACAGAATATACCCAGGATTTCTTTAGACGTCTATTACCTTGATGCAGACACATGGCACATGCATTCTGAGACACAGTTTATGTGTAATGTATATGAAGCACCAATAATTCTATAAATGTGTGTGCGTATGTCTGACAGAAAAATGAATAAATAGGAGCTCACAATAGAAGCCGAGATCCTTGGACATGTCAATAAACCAATACTGATCACACAGTGTTTTACATCTTCCAATTACAGGGGCTGACGTTCATCTCACTCAGACCCATAACAACCCCCTCCCCCTACGCTGTCAGGCAATGTTGATGGTTGATGTTGGAGCTGCGTCTGCCAGGATGCAGGGCAGTGCCATTGATGGGTTAACTCTTTGCGCCCTATGTGAATCTGCCGTAGGTTGTTCAGAAATGAGCAAGAGGCTCCTTTGACAGCAAAAAGGGTTGGACAGCTGGCTTCTAAAGTAGATGGTAGTACAAGTAGATTGCCTGAAGAATAATTGAATTTCGGGGCTCTCGTGAAAGCAAACACTGGCTGCGCTGCCTCCTTTCTGTGCTGTACAGGGTGGCAAACTCACTGATTCAATTATTTGCTAGTAATTCAATGTATACCGTGTGCAGCATTTTACTACTCTATGCTTTAAAGGGCTAGACCCTATTTAATCTATCCATGCTCATGCATATTGGACTGCAGGATTCAGTGTTGTGCTCACATCAGGGATCATTGCTCTAAATATATATTATCATTATGATGAATATTATATTTCATAGTATAGGCAAGTAGAAAAACAAGCCAAAATAAACCACGGCTGCAGCATTTCATACATACGCTATACTCCATTACTATAACTTTGGCACTATGTCGACAAACTTCATACAAGTCATATATGCATTCCCTCTTAGATTGTAAGCTCCAAGGAACAGGGCCCTCCTATCCTTCTTGTATTGAACTGTATTGTTGCTGTATTTTTCTCCCGTTATATTGTAAAGCGCTGAGCAAACTGTTGGCGCTATATAAATCGTGTATAATAATAATAATAATTGTTTTCTTACTGGGGACTCTGATCCTGTCCTACAGAGTCAATTAAGACTGAAATAATATAAATTCTGAAACATAAAACACTCATAAATCAATTTACTATCCTATGAAGCACTAGCTGTACTCTATGGCAGCATCCTATATGCTTATTGGCTTAATTAACCAGATAAAGCACAATGTGCGAAGGGCAGTAACCCAGTGCAACCAATCAAAACCATTCTTCTTTGTTATGACTGCTAAAGACTTTACAACTGAGAAACTGGATTGGATGCCATAGACTGTGACAATTTACGCATCATCCCTGCTCTTTGCAAATCTTTATTAACCGTATTATTTTTCTGAGATTTGTATCCTTTATATGTATAATATATTGCTCAATACGTTTATTTCATTAAATATTTTTTTTTTTTTTTAAACAATAGCATTTCATTAAATATTTACCAAGACAACAACCCTTGGGGCAGTGATCTGCTGATACACATAGGAACCAGATCATTTAAATTCTCATTCTTCTCAACAGTTGTGCGCTTTTTACAATAGTGAAATCTAAACTGCGATTGGTTGCTTACTTCATGGCTCTACTATGTGCACTATGTTAGAACGCAAAGATATACATTTACTTACTGCAGCTCAACAAGAGCTTCGTCTACTGCCAGTAAGCAATCCATTAAACATTTTAATTGCAGGATTAAAAAATATTAGGTTTATAAAAAGTATAATTACCTAAAGCATTGATATTTGTTCGCATCTCTCCAGCTGCACATAAAAAAAAACAATGTATTGATCATAGCATAAATAATATATAGAATAATACACAGCATGGGAACACACCATGCAGGCCGTCCCAATCTCATCACTAACTGAGCTGCAATCTCACTATTTAAACATGATTTTTGAGGGAAAATAACTAAAATTCAATCCCAGACACAAGATCTGTTATATAAATATACATAGACACATTTCACATAGATGTTACTATAGACATTCATTTCAGGGCTAAGTACCTGTGTATGAAATCTATGTATACCAATGACTTAGAACAGCAGAAAAAACATTATAGCTAATGCGTGTGCATTACTTGGATATAGTCACTATAGTCACTATAGTCACACAATTTCCGGTTTATTTAAGACTGAGCAACCTTTCTGCTTAATAATTCAGGATAATAAAAAGATTCATTCTGATTACTTTGAGTTGCTGAACTCCACCCTGTACCTCATTGGCAAAATTGTATATATATATATTTATTTATTTATTTATTTTATTTATTTATTTATTTTTAAAAAATATTTCTTTTTTGTACAGTTGTGTGCAAAAGTTTCTAAACCACCATTAAATTTCTGAAGGAAAGGCTCCAAAAATGTGATCTGACCTTCTATACCATAATGTAAAAGACAATAACTCACACACGGTTGCTGTAATTTGCAAGTGAATTTTCCCCAGAGCTTAGTGAATGTGTTGACATTTTACGTTGCAAGAAATACCCAATCACATTCAAGGAAAATTTAAAAATAATATTTTTACTTGCACATGATTGGATGATGGAAGTCAGCTTCGCTTTATTCATTAATCTCTGGGGAATATTCTCTTGGAAAGTGCAATTTCCCTTGCAAAGTGAACAGTCTATTTGCATTTAGTAACTCAACTCTACAGTATCTTATATTGGCCTTTCCTTGTTGAAAAATGGTTTCAATATTCACAGTCACAGGAAAAAAAATATGAAAACTTCTAACATAATGACATTTTGAAATGAGAGTCATTGGAGTACGGTATTCCAATTAAGCACAAGGAGCATTACTTACTGTTAATGCAATGTGTCCCTTGTGCTGCTTTAGTAGAAATCTTCCTCTGATCCCCCCACCCTTCTGGTTTGGTTGGGTTAATAGAGCCGAGGGACCTGTCATATGCACTTGTCAATAGTGCCAGCTATGCCCACCCTTTCTGCACCCCTCCTCCATTCATAGAAATTGTGCTACAGCTTCTATGAGTGGAATATAATCCATGAATGGAGGACAGGAGGATGAATGAAAGTTCCA